GTGAGCCAGGTTGCCACAAGGCGGTTGTTGATCCAGCGATACCAAGATGGGTTTATAAACATCAAAGGTAAAAAGGGACTCAGCATGAAAATGCTTCCAAAAAAGCTTCCACAAAACAGAGTGAGTATAAAGTAAATCCCTTTCCATGACACCATGATTCTGAAAGATATATTTTTAAAAAAAAAGGTTATATTTTGTTGCTATACATTTAACTGCTCAAATTCAATTTCAGAATGATGCATATAATAATCTTTAACTGCAGAGCCATAAAAAAGGCTCTGATAAACAATGTATTTATAAGAGCCCAAATTTTATAGAGGCAAACCCCTTATATGTTCTGCAGGTCTAGCAAGTTGCTAGTACATTAAGAAACTAATACTCTCAACAGAGTAAATGTCCGACCTATAAAAAAAATGCTGCCTAGTTTAAGAAACCTTTGTTTTTTATCAGGTTATTAGTGTTTAACATAAAATCAGGTATTTTATTTTCCAGATGTTATCTAACACAAAATCTTAAAATGTCCCAGAGTTTTTTTTCTACCCAGAAGTAGACATAACAGACTAAGAACTGCAGAACACTTCCTAAGGATGAGTACAGTAGTTTCAGTTTATCCGAGGGAGACATGTTCCAAGACCCCGGTAGATGCCTGAAACCTTGGATAGTATCAAACCCTATACATACTATGTTTTTTTTCCAATACATAGATACCCATGATAGTTTAACTTATAAATTAGGCACAGTAAGAGATTAACATCAATAAGTTATTATTAATAAAGTATTAAGTAAAATAAGGGTTACTTGAACACAAGCATGGCCCTACTGTGACAATCAGTCTGATCACTGAGACAGTTACTAAGTAACTAAGGGGTGGGGGCAGAGAGATGGCATCGATACTTCGGACAAAGAGATGATTCAGAGATGATTCTCATCCCAGGCAAGACTGAGAGGAATGGTGCAAAATTTCTTCATGCTACTCAAAACAGTGTGCAATTTAAAACTAATCAGTTGTTTATTTCTAACATTTTCATTTAATATCTTCAGACCAAGGTTGACCCCAGGTAACTGAAACCTAGGATAGGGGTTACTACTACACCTAAATGCAGTGGCAATTAAACAGAGTGCACTATTTTTTTTTTAAATCTAGAAATGTTAATTCTTTACATCAGAATCTAAAAATAACATCTTAGGCACTTGTTTTTAAACTGGCTCTTTATGAGCTGAAGGGATAAGTAGAAGTCAGACTCCTCCTCACTGGCTTTACTAAACTATTTGCGAAAGGATTATCTGGGGTGGGGGTGGGGGGCTGTCTTCAAAACCAAAACATAATAGTGATCTTTAAAAATAAAGTTGGAA